GTCTCTTTAAAGCATTGTAATCCTGTGTCAGCGTCCGGAGAGCAGGCTGTAACGTGAGCAGGTTCTTCCTCACTCCTAAAAAATACATAGAATAAATATGGAGTCATTGAAGAAAGGAGGAGAGAGCCTCTACCCCACTCCCTCTAGCATGTAAGCTCATTGAGCAGGGCCCCTCTGTTCCTGTGTGTCCAACTTGTCTGGTTACAACTACATGTTTGTTCGCCCACCCACTGTAAAGCGCTGTGGAATTTGTTGGCACTATATAAATAATAACATAATATATAGAGAGAGACCGTGCAAGGAGTCAATAGAGAGAGACTGAGCGTGGAGTCAATAGATAGAGAGACACTGAGCGAGGAGTCAATAGAGAGAGAAAGAGATACTGAGCGAATAGTCACTACATAGAGAGATACTGAGCGAGGAGTCAGTAGAGAGAGGGACACTGAGCGAGGAGTCAATAGAGAGAGGGACACTGAGCGAGGAGTCAATAGAGAGAGAGAGACTGAGCGAGGAGTCAATACAGAGAGACTGAGCGAATAGTTAAAACATAGAGAGAGACCGTCTCTTTATATTGACTCCTCGCTCAGACTGAGCTTGCGGCCCACGGCCATGTTTAATAAGTGCCTGATGTCCCATTGCTGTTAGGTTTTGTTCCTAGGGGGTCACACGGTCTCACAGCTTGACGGTCAATGAGTTTACCATCCAGGCTGAGGTGCACGGCTCTCATCTCCACCTGTGCTCTCTGAAAGGCCTCGGACACCGCTTGTTCCTTCTCCTCCTGGAGAGTCTGAAACTCTTGCACCATCTGCGCCTGGGACTGGTCAAGTTCTAAGGCATAGAGATCCACCTGGCCAGGAGAGAGTCAGCGTGTTACTAGAATGTCAGGGCTGTGTGACCTGCATTTTGTGACGGTTTATCTCCCATACACTGACCTGCGCCCGCAGCTCGGCTGATTCCTGCTGTTCCTGCTGTAGTTTCTGTTGCATATCGTCCAGCATGCGCCGTTGCATGTCTACTTGTTCCTGCAAATATAGACTGCGGCTCTGTGCTTGGCTGAGTGCCATCTTCATCTTCCCTGATTCAACGTCCACCTTCTGCATTATATACTGCAAAACAGCAAGTGCGTCATTACGGCGTCTGTACCTGGAATTAAACTCGGCAATTTCTACTTATACAGCCAGAATCACAGGAATAAAGTGGCCGGTAGTTGTACTATGTATAGCACACAGCGCTCCTGTTTAAATAAAAATTAACCTTGATCTGTGGCTGCTGACATTCTCTCAGTCGACGGTTCAGTCGCTCTTCTTCTTCTACTCGTTCCCGCACAGAGTCCCTGACCCGCAGCTCCGCTTCTGCAAGGCATTCCGCTTTCTGCTGTACCTCCCTCTGCAGTGTGGCGATAAGCAACTTCTGCTCCCCCTCAACCTGCTCCATGTGGCTCACACAGTCCTTCAGGATTTGGATCTCCTGCAACAAATGAATGATGACCACATGTGGTCCAGTTGGCAGGAGAGTATAGATATCTACTAGAGATTAGAGAGTAGAGATATCTACTAGGGCAAACCTGCTTCCAGGGGCCATCATTAGTTACAGTGTCACCCTATCCGGGTCACTACAATTGGAAAGCCTCAGTCCCCCTATTTATCGCTGGCCAGGTTTTGGGAAGCTGGTATAAGATCCAGCCAGCTTGGTGCTTTCTATACCTTGTCATTCCCAAGGTCCATTCGTCTTCTGAGAAGCTGCAGCTCTTGTCTCAGGTGGTTATTCTCAGACACCAGGAGGTCTCGGTGTTTCTCTAAGTCAGTCCCTCCCTGTGGGGCATTAAGGTACATATAGTATGGGGGGAACACTGATGGAGAGAAAGGGGGGCTTTTCATTAGAATACAATAAGGGGGGACATTCTCATTCCACTAACATACAGTACGGGGCGGGGGTACATTCTCCTTCCACTAACATACAGTACGGGGGGGACATTCTCATTCCACTAACATACAGTACGGGGGGACATTCTCATTCCACTAACATACAGTACGGGAGGACATTCTCACTCCACTAACATACAGTGCGTCAATAGAGAGAGAGAGAGACTGAGCGAGGAGTCAATAGATAGAGAGACACTGAGCGAGGAGTCAATAGTCTCCTTCCACTAACATACAGTATGGGGGGGACATTCTCATTCCACTAACATACAGTCCGGGGGGTCATTGGTGGGGTACCAGGGAAGACCCTTTCCATTAACAAAATATCTTGTCAGTGAGCACATCAGAGGCACATGCTCAGGAAGACATTATCTGCGCACTCACCAGCTGGATCTGAAGATTGCTCATTTCCTCGGCTTCTTTCAGCATCTGCAATACAGCACAAGTTATAACACAGAAATGGCGACCAGGCTCCCTACTCCGACATACCCTCTACCTACCTGCTGCATCTTTCTGCACATCTCATCATGCTCTCGCTCCTTCAGTGCCAGCTTTTCCTGCATCTCCTGCAGCTTTCTATGCAGCTCGCTGCAGGTGTCCGGCGTGCTGTCCGGCCTCTCCTGACGGTTCTCTCGGAGATTCTCATCCTGATGATGTGGTTGCAGTAGTTGCAGGTTATTGCCAAACTCTGTGATTTCCTGCCGTTCATGTAGGACCTCTGTCTGCCTCGTCACCTGCAGAGCTTTAACCTCCGGCGGTTTGGCTTTCAGTCTCAGCATCTGACCACGTCTTGCCATCTTGTCCTGAGGCACGCTCTCCTGCACTAGGTCTCGGTGTAGACTATCCTGCATCTCATACTGTACGTGGCTCTGGGATCCCACCATAGTCTGTGGGGCATCAGAAGCACTGATCACGCCAATAGTGCAGCACCAATAACCTAAGGAACGATAAAACGGTATTTTACTGGGCGCCACTGTATTCCAAATACACCAGGAAATAAGAGGATTCATTCGTGGCTGACACAACTCTATTCCATTTTTTATTTATTTTTTATATATATATATTTTAAATCAGGGACCCCAAATGGTTAGAAATACCATTTTCTATCAGTGAATACTGGGGTCTCCTGGAGATGAATCCAAGAGCAATGATATGATCTAATATGATACGATATAATGTGATATAATATGATACAAATCATACGACATAATGTGATATATGATACAATATAATGTGATATAATATGATACGATATAATGGATTATAATATGATACGATATAATGCCATACGATATAATGTAATATATATCACATTATATCACATCACATTAGATCGTATCATATCACATTAGATTGTATGACACGATATACTGTGATATGATATAATGTAATATATGATACAATATAATGTGACACGATGTAAAGTGATTGTAACGGGACCCTGTAGCAGAGAGCTGGTCTTTCACAGGTTATCTCCATTAAAGATCCCAGTGAGGCTGAGGAGCAAGTAATAAAATCCCATATAACAATAATCACAGCAAGCAAGGTAATCCACGAATATCCCAATACAGATCCCAATGACTGGACGACACACAGCATCAGGAGCAGAACTGAACTTTTAATCACACAATCCCTCCTTTTAAGCAATTCTCCCATGCAAGGGAGACACCCACCATAATTATTACAATAACCAATAGGGTACAAGGTACAACCCACACATCTCCTCCCCTCAGATAAACATTTAACATAATTAAACGGTACACAATTTTCCCCTAGTTCTAGATGTACCCCAAATACATAAGGTACACCCCCCTACACGCTCTGATCTGTGTAAACAACATACTCAAAAATCACCC